AACCTTATTTATTATCTAGCTGTTTTTAGAGACTATAATAACTTAGTTCTAAAGTAAATTCTTCTTTTTATACTAGGCAAAAAAGTAATAGCAGCTCTTAAAAATAATAAAGAGTAGAATAGCTTACTTTGTTATGTTAATACCTTAAATAACTATTATCTACTTTTTATTACCTTACTATATTACTTTTAGCTATTTTTATTTCTTTAAAGCTATAATAACTACTCTAGTTAATATTTAGCTTATTATAAAGCTTAACTTATTAAAGTTTTACATGTCTTTATTTTAGATACTGTACTTAGCTTTTATGTTAGCTACTAGGCAAAACTAGCCTTAGATAACTTTTAAATTTTTATAAAGCACTTTTTTATAATTATACTTATAATTAAACTTTATTATAAACTTAGAGCAGTGCTTAACCTATATACTAGGCTAGTTTAAGCTAACCTAGCCTAGATTGCGCTCTATGCGTAAGGAATTAGCTATATTAGCTATAGCTGTAAGCTTAGAGAGAAATCTGCGTGTAATAAGCTTAAGTATGTACTTAATAACTACTTTTTTTTTAAGCTTAGTTAGATTTCTTAATTTAGGCTAGCATTCTACTTATAAAGGCTGTCTAGCGTGTTAATTACTTAGTGTTGTGTAAAAGACATTATAGATAGCTATAGCATGTTGTAAGAAAAGTTTAAGTTTTATTTAAAAAGCCTAAAAAGTAAGCTATATTTAATGTTCTTTAGAAGATTTAATCTAGTGTTGTTGTTAAGGCATTATGTAGATAGGTAGAGTGTAGTAGGGGCTTAGCAAAAGTGGCCGGCCAACCTGTGTAGCCGGCTAACCTGTTCGGTACGTTATTTAAAGAATTAACTATCTTTGCTTTAGAACTGCTAAGTAAAGCATCTAAAAATTAATTTATTATCCTTAGATAAAATAAAAGCCTTTAAGGCTAAGGCAGTAGAACTTTTAGCTCTCTAGCTGTCTTTTTTAGGCTCTTATCCCTGTGCATTCTTACTAGTTAGTAGTTCTAGGGGCTTTATTACCTTTAGCTTTAAGAAGCTTTTACCTAGGTAGTTTTATTTTAATAAGAGAAGTAGTACTTCTTTAGTAGCTGCTAAGTCTTTATCAGGTGTTTTTACTAGTAAGCTATCTCTTTTATTAAATAAAAAGCTTTTTTTTTTCTTATTAGCTATAATTCTTTTTACTTTATATTCTGTCTTAACATCCTCCTACTTTTAATTAGAAAGGGGCACCTCTTTAGGTGCCTTTTCTAGTTTAGAGGCATAAAACTATAAGTGTATTTATATGTTTGCTACAAGCTTTAGTTTATAGTTACCTTTTTAAGTTTGTAACACTTTATATAGTCTAATTTGTAATTTTGCTAGCTTTCTAGACGGTTTTTAGATCCTAAGGTTTCTTATGTCTAGGTACATGTAGTCTCCTAGTTGTATAGCAGGTGCTTTAGTGCAGGTTCTATCTAATTGTCCTGTTATTTATTCTTAGGCCTTTTATGCCTTATTAGCTACTTTTTAATGTAAGTTTAGAAGTTAACTTGCTCTTCTTATAGCTGTATTAGAGTTATATAGTTAGGTGCTAGAGAGTCTATAGCACAGTTTATAGCTAAAATTAGCCTTATACAGGGTTTTCTTAGTTATAGATAACTCTAAAGTATTAATAGTAAGCTAAGCTATTAAGAGCTACTCTATCTAGTTTATTTATTATAGAGAGATATACTTTCTTAAGTACTTTTCTATTTTAGCGTTTATCTGTTTAGTTTGCCTGTCTGTCTGCAGGTAATATGCTATAGACAACTTGTAGTCTATCTGCTGTAACGAATCCTATGAATCGTTCCATCTTAGGCGGCCCAGAACCTTTGGAAGGCCCTTGTATTGGCCCTGACCCTGACTCTGCCCTAACCCCTACTGTTACCACTATTCCCTCATGTATTTAGTCGCACCTCTCCCCTGTAGCTAGCTTGGTAGTTTTCTAATATCCCCTGTACAAGGCCTATAGGTGTCAATGGCATTCCCAGGTTCTAAGTCCCCACCCACCCCTATATGCCTCTAAGTGGATTCCCACTGTATTTAGACCTATTGTCTTGCCTACGCTGTTACATCTGCAAGTGTTGCATAGCTGCTTCTTAGAATTAACTTGTAAACAGCTTGTCCCTGTTAGAGATTATAATAGCTAGGCAGCTATAGATACTAATAATGTTTTGTTCTAGCTTATAAATAAATTCTTACACTGTTATAGTTTTCTTAAATGCTTATATATAAATAAATTTAGTTGTTTTAATAACTACAACAGCTATTATATTACATAGGTGTTTAGATCCTAGCTTGTTAGATAAGAGAAGGCTTGTAATAAAGTTTATAGTAATTATAGTCTATAGTTGCTAAGGCGCTTTAATAGCTTAAAGGACTTTATAGAGCTTATGCCTTTTTAGATTATTTCTGTTATAAGTGTTACATTTATATAACACTTCTACGCATAGTTGCTTAAGCTTTAGTATAGTTCTAAAAATAACTGTCTTTAGCTTTTTCTAAAGATTTCTAATTCTAAAATGTCTAAACACTAGAGATTTATAGTATTCCTTTATAAAGTTCCTTTATCCTTACTCTACTAATGTTAAGGTGGCAATAGATTCTATTAGCGTAGGCCTGTTGCAGACTAACCTTTTCTCTCTTCTCTTTCTCTTCTTCTCTAGACTTTCTTTAAACCTTCTCTACCTTATCCTTAGTTACTTAAGAGCGCTATAATGTCTGCCTAAAGGTTAAACACTAGAGCCTTTAGAGCTAAAACTTAACAAAGCAGCTTAGTATTCTAGTAGAATAAGGCCACCTAGACACTAGCTGTAGGAAGACTAGCTTCCTAACTCTCTATAACCCGCGCTACCTACACTAGGCTCTAAGTGTAACGGCACAGGCAAGACAATGGGTCTGAATGCGGTAGGAGTCCACTTAGAGGCATATGGGAGTGCGTGGGGACTTGATAACCTGGGAATTCCAATTAACACCTATAGGCCTTGTACAGAGGATATTAGAAAACTCCTGAGCTAGCTAAGAGAAGAGGTGCGAATAAATACATAAGGGAATAGAGGTAACAGCAGAGGACAGGGTTGAGTTATGGTCGGGGCCGATACAGGGACCTATCGGATAGGTTCTAAGCGACCCGAAATCGGACGATTCCTAAGAATTGTTACACTAAGCAGACTTTAAAATAGCTTTAAACGCCTCCTTTTTATTTTTTATATTTTTTATATTTTAGGCTGCTACCTATAGCTTAAAATAGTTTTAAAGAACTAAGAATTTCTCTTTATAATATAAAAAAACTTATACTTCTATTAGTAAACTATACCTTAGCAGTATTAAACTATATTTATATAAAGTTATATTTTTTATTATATAAGGTGTAATATTTACACTTTTTTAAATTAAAGAACTACAAGAAAAACTTAACTTACTAGCTATAAGTAAAGGTGTAGGCAGCCTAAAAGTAGATAACTTAAAAGGCCTCTAAAAGGCTCTAAAAGAAGAGCAGAGCAGTATAGTAATTTTCTTTAATACTATAATTAGTTAATAGACTAAGCTATATAATGTTAAGTACATAATAATACTTACATAGTAAAGAATTAATAATAGCTAAAAAAATTAATAACACTAACTAAACTATAGAAGTAAGGCAAGTAAACACTTATTACTATAAATAACTTACTATATTAACAACTACGCTACTAGTTACTACTAAATAAAAATGTTATAATAAAAGCATTATATAAGTATTAAGTTTTTAGTTTATTTTTTTAGTAATAAAATTTTTTAGTTAAAAAGTTAGACTTTATTATATTTTATTTTAAATTTATTTTAAATTAGTTCTAAATACTTTCTAAACTATAAATAAAAACTATTAGCCTATGAAAAGAGAGTAGTGTAATAATTTTTATCAATTGTTTTATCTTAGGTTGCTTAGAACCTATCTAATAGGTCCCTGTATTAGCCTTAACTATAACTTAACCCTGTCCTCTGTAGTTACCCCTATTCTTCTAAGTATTTAGTTGCACCTCTTCTTTTAGCTAGCTTAGTAGTTTTCTAATATCCTCTGTACAAGGCCTATAGGTGTTAATGGCATTCCTAGATTCTAAGTCCCCACGCATCCTATATGCCTTTCAGTGGATTCCTACCGCATTCGGACCTATTGTCTTGCCTGCGCTGTTACAGTTACTAAATAAAGTATATAAAGCATATAATCTCTAAGCTTAAAAAAATGCTAATAAGAAAGCTCTATAACTTAAAAATAATAAAAAAATTAAGCTTAAAGAAGTAAAAAAGGTAAAAAAAAAAAAGACGCGTATGCTAAAGAAAAGAAAGTGCATAAAAGTAGTAGCAAAAGAAATCTAACTCTAAGAGTAGCACATTAGAGTAGCTTAAAAAAAGAAGGCAAACTTTACTTAAAAAGCTGCTGCGTAACTTAAAAAGAACATCTAATTAGCTAAAAAGGTTAATAAAAAAGCCTCTGCACTAATTACTAGTAATAATGATAAAAAGAAGACTTATATTAAAGATAAATTAGTTATAAAGGTTACTGCGCCTTGTGACGGCGTGTACCGCCTTACATGCTCTGCGGCATCAGCTCCCTCGCTTGCGCAACGAGTAGCACGCTAGTGCTACAAGTAGCGCCTTGGCAGGGGGCACACATGTATATTTAAACTCGCAGAGCAGCTCCTCTGCTCCTTAGTTTAATCTAGTTGAGTTACACCACCTCTTGCTTGTAGCTTGAGCATGCCGACTGTGACACGCCTACTCTAGCCTAAAGTTAACGTAGCAGGTAGATTAACCTTTCTAAAAGGTTTCTTATATAATAGATTAATTAAATAGTAAGCTTTCTTTATAACTCTAGAAAACTGCTTTATTTTATTAGCTCTATAGAGCTGTACAGCTTTAAAAGTTAATAGGGGTAACATCTTAAAACTGTGCGTTATGAGGGGCTGTGTAAGGCCGGGATGGCGCTTACGTGTAAGGCCGAGATGGTGCTTACGTGCGACGGGTATATATACTATTCTGTACGCAATAATTAACTGTTGGTTGATTATTCGCACCTTTTTGGTTGTATTGGCGTAGTGGTACAGAGCTCCGTCCTTACAGGCTGTGCGTTAGGCGATGAAACACGGTCTTGCATGGGCTTAGGAGGGGGCATATGGCAAACGAGTTGACAAGGGAGCGAGATTCAAACAAAGTGGAACGAGTGTATTGTAAGGTCTGAGGAGCTTGATAGAGCTCTGAGCTGACTATGTACTGTACGAGAAAGGAGCTATGCCTAATGAGTGAATAGTGCAGTGCATGGGTATGGTATCGCGTGAGACACGTGCGACACACGGTAATCCTCAGTCATGCGGTGCACCTGCAAACTCCTTGACTAGGCATATTCTTTATCTCACAAGTCAGCCGCCCCACAGGTGATTTTGCGCTAATACTATTTTAGATTAGACAAAACTTCTAAAACTTCTAAGCTAATTAAAACTTCTAAGGTCTTCTAGGCTAATTAAAGGTTAATTACTAATAACACGCAAAATTATCTACAGAGCGTCTAAGAAGAAATAAATTAAGTTTGTATGTATCTTAGTTTACAAATCTATTAAATTATGCAATAGCACTACACTACTATTAGTATATATTATAATGTTTAATATAATTAAAAACAAAGGTTTTTATTTTTATAATAGGCACATTTTTAGACGTATCTAACACTGTTTAAAGAGTAAAGTACATTATTAAATCTGTTTTTAACATGTTGTGTGTTCTAGCTATTAACTATCTATCTTTATTCTATTACTTCTATTAACACTACATGTTGTATCCCTCTATAACTGCAGGAGCTAAGGCACACATGCTTTCTTTATTACCTCCTGTAATTAAAAATTTAGTGTAAACAGGTGTAAGTATGCAGTTATAGTTATTAGTACACCTACACTTAACCTACTACATTATATAACCTAGTTAATAAGCAGGGTGTTAGAGATCCTACGCTTTTAAGAAACTTCTAGAAACTTTTAAAAACTTCTAAAAACCTCTAGAAACTTCTAAAAACTTTTAAAGTATAGTAAAAAAAAAAGGTAAGAAAAAAAATAAGCATTTACAATAGGAAAAAAGTAAGAAAAAGTAGAAACATTAAAATGCTTTAAATGTAATAGGTTAGGGCCTTATTTTTTTAAGCTTTTAGATTTAGATTAATCTTGTTCTATTTATAAAGTTAAAGAATCTTCCTAGCCTTATCTTAGTAGCTAAGGATGTTTATAATGTTAAATTCTAAAAAATGTTTTTTACGCGTGTCTTACACAGATCCTCTGCAAAAGAAGAATAATAGGCGCTAATAATAGTAGCCTATTACTGTGTAATAAGCAACTCTGTACTTTAAAGCTACTAATATTTAACTATAAAGATACTCTTTTAATTGCCTAGACTAGTTTTAGTAAGAGCATAATTTTCTACACTTATTTAGTGTTAACTGCTAAAATTATTATTTAGATTATTCTGTTAAATAAGCTTAAAAACAAGCAGCTAGATAATATACAACAATTAAAAAGATCTAAGCTATGCATTATTAATGCTTAAAGTAGAGCTAGTTAGTAGAGACTATTTACTTAAATTATTAATAAAAAATTTACTTATCTACTTATAAGGCTAAAGTAGGCTTTTAGTAGAGCTTTCTAAAATATTCTAAAAAATCTACAGTTGCAGTCTTAAATTAAATTAGTAGCTATTAATAAATGTTATTTTATATTAAACTAAAAAAGGTTTTAACCTATGTTTATAATACTAAGTTAACTATAAGTTATACTTTAAAGGAATGTTGTTTAGTTTGCCTATTCTACTATGTTAGACAGTACTGCAGAGGATGTAGTCTTACACTACACTAGTTTCTGTCTGCTAGGCTGCTGTATGTACTAGACTAAGGTTATCTACACTTTAGTTAATTACTCTAATGTTACTATTTTAGTATTTTTTTTTTACTATAAGGTAAAGTTAACTTATAAAATAGTCTTTATCTCTTTTTTTAAAAAAGCGTCTTAAGTAGGTATGCTAATCCTAAAGAGATCTCTAAGATAGTTATATTTATTAATAAGTGTATATTTATTTAGTTAGCTATAGTATAGTTTTACTTAATGCTTTTTTATTTAACAGAAGCACTAGAACTTTATAATTAGTATATAACTAATATTAATAATAGTTTATAGTGTGTGTATAACATAGTAAAGATGTTTACTGCAAATGTGTAAGAATATAACTAAAATAAGTGTTATTCTAAGTTTAGAAAGCTAACGTTCTATATCTAAATTATAGTAGCTACTACTTTGCTAGGCATAGGCATTAATATCTTTAATATTAACTATGTTATATGCTAGAAGTTTCTAATTATAAAGAGCCTCTTAGTGTAACGATGCTACGAATCGTTCCATCTCGGGTCGCTCGGATCCTATCTGAAGGGTCCCTGTATCGGCCCCGACCATGACTTGACCTAGTCCCCTGCAGTTACCCCTATTCCCTTATGTATTTAGTCGCACCTCGCCCCTGTAGCTAGCTTAGTAGTTTTCTAATATCCTACGTACAAGGCCTATAGGTGTTATTAGTATTCCTAGGTTTCTAAGTCCCCACGCACTCCTATATGCCTCTAAGTGGATTTATACTGCATTTAGACCTATTGTCTTGCCTACGCTGTTACATTATATTAAAAAACTTACTTTTGCTAGTAATAGCCTTATTAATAATATTATATTAATTATTTATTTAACTATGTCTAAGTTCTAAAAAGTGTTTAATTTAGTTTAAGTTATAATTTCTTACACACTATTACATTAAATTATTTAGTTAGTATAGATAGGATTCTAGAAACCTCTTATTAACTAAAGCCTTTAAGTTTAGAACTTCCTATCCCTTGTAATTAAGATTGCCTTTAAAAAAGTTATAAAAAGTGTGCTAAGGTAGAAACCTAAAGACTACTAATAACTTATTAAAATTAGGGATAACTACTAATGCCTAACCTCTAACTATTATTAGATCTTATTATAAAGACTACAACCTATTCTAGCTGCAGCTAAGGCAAAATGCCTACCTTTAAAACTAAACTACTACTAACTTTAATAGCTAAACCCCCTTTTATAAGACCTAAAGCTAAAAACCTACTAGATTTAAAGTTAAACTTTAGCAGCATAGCCTTTAAGAACTAAGTTACTTAGTTAAGGGCATAAATTAAATAGCTAACTAGATTAAAAACTATTAGTCTTAATTATCCCCTACTAACTACTAAATTACCCCTAATAATGCTTTAAATTACTTATGCTATACTAATAGTAAGAGACCTTTTAGGCACCTTTAAGCTTTTTTAAAGCTACCTTACTAAACGCATGCTTAAGATTAAGAACCTTATAAATAGTAAAAAACCTATGTTTAAATAATAGTAAGCCTTTATTATAGACAGACTTAACATTAATTTAAATTACTATTAAAGTAAGTGTGCACGCATAGCGCTAGTATAGGGACACACTGCTAGTATTGCAAAGGAATACCTAGAGCCTAGATACCTAGCTAAATTAGATAACTTTTAGTTTAAAAACATAAAAAAAATAATTAAGCTTTTATAAATGTACTTTATTACTAGTAATAAAGAGACAGAGGCGCAACAGGCGTTTTAAACTTTAAAAATAAGCAAAGAAGAAGCATTTCTTACCTTTAAAGCTTACTTTATTAGTGCTGCTGTTAAAAAGTCTGTATTAAAGTTAAAATAGTTTTTCTACTTATAAAAGAAGATACTGCCTAGCCTAAAAGTACTAAACTTAGGTTTTAAGCATACTTAGAAGGGCTTCTTTAAAACTATAGTAGCCTACCTAACAGCTTATAACATAGAAAGAAAGAATACCTCTGCTATTTTAAAGTAAACTGTTAATTTTACCTAACAGTCTACTATTAGACCTAGTACAGATTAGTCTTAAAAAGTTTCTAGTAATACATCTAAGGCAGTATACTATTCTAGTGCACTTTAACCTGCACCTTTATTAGTACTCTAGTCTACCTTAGTTACCTATAGACAATCTAGCTAGACACCTGCCCTAGAAAGACAGATAACTTCTAGCAACTATTATAATTATAGAAAACTAGGACATTTTACTAGCAACTACCCTATCTCTAAAGTACAAAAAATAAAGGTAGAGTAGTAAGATTTTAAAGAAAAATTTATAAACATAAATAATTTTAATCTAGATGCCTCTTAAATAGGAAATAGTAACACCTAAAGAAACTCTTTATCTTAAGCTTAAGTAAATATAATCTATTAAACATTAATCTGTTACACTTGTTTAAAGAAAAACACTTCTAAGTCTTTACTATTTTATATTTAAAAAGCATTAAAGTCTATTTAAATCTCTTAGTTAATACTAGCGCTTATAGTTTCTTATTTATTAACTTACTAACTACTAAGTTATTATCTTAATGCTTTTATGTCCCTATCTAATACTTACTATTTAAAGTTATAGTTAAGAGCTTTTAAGATTAGATCTAAGTCTCTGTCTACTAGTATATCTGCCTGCATATGCAAATTAATAAAAAAAGCATCTAAAACTGCCTCTTTGTTATTATAGACTTTAGCTCTTAGGATTACATTATTAGCATTAAATAGTTATGTTGTTTTAAACTTTATTTAGATATAAAAAAGAATTAGATTATATAGCCTAATAAATATCTACCTACTTATAAACTTTTACTGCCCTTGCTTATGCAATTAACCTAGCCTGCGCGTAATAAAGAAGTAGAGCTAGATATTAAATAACGCAACGCACTATAGAAAAAGGACTAATTTTAGTAGTTATACAGCCTAATAATCTACTGCATTAAGGGTTTGCTAAGGCTACTAAAATTATACAGATCTTCTATTATTTATAGTCTAAAGACACTTAAATTATTCTTTTACTTATCTATTAAGAAGTCTAGAATAGGTCTAAAGGAGGTCTGTTTAGCTACTATTACTCTAATTTTAGTAAATGCTTTTTATTTTAACATAAAAAAAAAAATAAGTTTTTTTTAACTTTTATTTATAAAATTAAGTAGTTAATTAAAGACAAGTAAGCTTTATAGTTAGACGCTAAATGTAAAACTAAAGCATTAGTAAACCTTTAATTACCCTTTAAATACTATTAGTACTAAGATGTATTTAGCTACACAGCAGCTTACTAGCTACTAGTACATTGTCTATATAACTATAAGATTGTCCTTACAGAGCCTCTCCCTAATAGTTACAGTCTGTTGTACAAACAGAACCTTAAAGAGCTAGAGGTAATAAAAAAATATATTATAAACAATCTAAAATAACGTACTTCATGGGCGAGTCGCTCACACACCCGAGTCGCTCACTTTTGCCAAGACCCCACCCCAATGAACTCTATTATGGCCCATAACAACCCGCTCTAGCACTATATAGTACAGTACAGCCTAGAATATTATTTAGATACTACTTCTGCTTCTTGCTTACACGTTCGCGCGTTATGCCCAGTCTAATTGCACTGTCTGCAGCGCCTTTAGAATGGCTCACCCACTTCAGCTTGCACCTGCTTCTTTGCCTTCTTCCTGTCACTGCGCGCCCTAAACTCCTTTAAAGCTGTTAAGCGCAGGCCTTCCTAAATTATTAAGGTCTTTTCTGCCTTAATCTGCTTTCTTTTATGCAATTTATGTCACGTAGCGGCCTTATTAGCTGCTTAAAGCTTAGTAATTTTCTGTTGCGCTAACACTAGCTTATGCGTAATTATTACTGCCCTCTTTAAGACCTTCTTAAACGCCTTAACTATAGAAGTTAGTAAACTATTTATATGCTTTTAAATTCTTGTCTTTATAAGCATTAATTGCAACCTAAGTTTTAGAGTATTACTTAGGGTTTACAACTACTAGGGCTTGTTATATACAGGTAGTAGTAGTAATAGAGTGCGCAACTTTACATTAAGGCCTATTATAACCTGTTATAGGTTAAAAGAAACTAATCTAGCGCCTTAGAACCCTTCTTAGATATTACTAAAAGTAATTACAGCATTATAGGCTGCTTTAAAGCATAGTAGGAACTTTATTTTTATAATATAGGTAATCTAGTTGCGTATAAGGTTTTTAGCTTAGCGCTTATACACCTTTTTTAAAGGAGCAAAACAACCTACATTAAGTAGCTGTAAAAGGTGTAATAAGTAAAAAGGCATGTAAATAGTAATAATCTTGTTATCCTTATAGTATTGCTAAAAATAAAGTAAGTTATAGCTCTTATAGCTGTTAATAACTAGCAGACAGTAGCTGCTAACAGTACACTTCTTTATATACATGTTAAAGTGCTTTAACTAGTCTAGACTAAGCTAATTAGTAGTCTAGCTGCGCTTAGAGATTGCAATAACTTAATCCTAGAGTAGATTTTCCTCCTTATACTAGTTTAAAAGGTAGTTGCTACCCTAAAAGATAATAAAGGGCAGAATAGCCTACCCTTTAGCATTAATGCCCTAGATAGCTGTTGTCTACTCCTAGTTGCCTAGCTAGACTGCTTTTAGCTGTTCTTATCTCTCTAAACCTGTAACAACTGCTTTAGTAGATATCTAGCCTATTATAAACTCTGTCTTATTAAAGTTGTACGTGTTGTTATCCTAGATGCTATACTTAGCTTTAATATTCTTTATAAGGTTAAACTAGCCTTAAATTACTGCAGGATTCTTGCAGAAAGCTCTCTTATAGTTATACTTACACTTAAACTTTACTTTAAGCTCTAGGTAACACTTAACAAACATATTAGGCTAGTTTATGCTAACATAGCCTATATTACGCTTAGCGCGTAAAGAATTAGCTATATTAGCTACAGCTGCTAGCTAGGGGGGAAATCCTTGCGCATTTAGCTTAAGTATGTGCTAAATAATCACCTGCTCCTTGTTATTGTCTAGCTTTTATAAGTTAGCTATACAATTAGCTTAGAAAGGTTGTCTAGCGCGTTAGTTGCTTATTATCTTTTAAAAGACCCTGTAGATAGCTATAGCACGTTAGTTAGAAAGTGTTGCGTCTTATTTAAAAGCCTAGAGCATAAGCTACATCTAACGTTCCTTTAACACGTTTAAGTAGTGTTGTTAGGAATGCATTAGTGTAGAAAGAGTAGTGTGGTGGGGTCTTAGCAAAAGTAAGCAACTCAGGTGTGTAAGCAACTCGCCTATGAAGTACGTTATAGCTTTATTAAGTAGAGTTAGAGCCCTTTTACATCTCTTATTTTTTATGTATAGAAACTAAATAGTAACTTATATATCTATGTTAATTACTGTAAACTTAACACTTTTACTTATAAAAATGTGTATCTAATACTACATATAGACAAACTCCTGTTAAGACCTACTAAGGTAGTAATTTTTACTAAGTTTAATATTTATGTAGCTTTTAACAAAATTAGAATAGATCTAAGCTTTAAAAAGTGTACTACTTTTTAAACATAATATAAAACTTATAAGTGTAA